GTTTAAAGAAATTGGGACACCGAGAAGATGAAAAATTTTTAATTTTTTTTATATTCAGAAAAAAATTTATTTTAGAGTAGCCGTGGCTAATCTATGAGTCAAATAACAGGCTTGCACTATTGGACCCTGTGTTTGGGGAATTTGTCTGTTACCGACGGCATGTCTTTTCATAGTAAAAACATGTTCTAACAAATTGATCAAGACATGGGTAGGTCATTATATTAATGGAGTTAAGAAGATTGAGTCTTGACTTTAAACATATTTAAATATATTAATCTAGTCTCGTTATTTACAAAAAAAAACATTTCAAATTTTCAGGTGATACTGCTCAAAGTATAATGCGTGGAATAGCCTTCAGATTCGAAGACCTGAAAACTCTATTCTTCCATATTAAACAAAATACTAAAGCAAAGAAATCTTCAAAATCATCCAAGTCGCTTGAAGTGCATGTTCCACAGGTTTGACTTTAAATTTATGTTTTTGTTACATTGTATGTATGAATGTCTTTATTTATTTAATAACTTGAAAATTTACTTGCCTCTAAAACATATGTTAATGTTTTGTACTATTGTTTCCCAGTGCTATATTATTTGAAAGTTTGAAGATAACTTTTCTAACATGTTTTATAAATGTTTGGTGTAAATTATGCATAATGCTATACGAAATGTATTGAATTTTACTTAGTCTACGATTGAACTTAGAATTAAAATTTGTGATTTCGACCATTGTAGTTGCACCAACTGACTTACAACTACCGATCGCATGCAGGTATTTTGAAACTGGCGTCAAGTATACTAGAAGTTCTTGTAAGATTTTTTCCTGAGTCGTTTGATCGTTTAGAACCAGACCAAGGTCTTTTTCCTGGACCAGAACCTATTTTGATTGAATCCTGCACATTTAGTGATTTGGCTGTGCTGTTAAGTGGAAACAGAAGAGAGACATCAAATATTGAATTTGGTGCACACCAAGTCATTTTAGGTTTGAATCATGTTTAATTTTGATTTCTATATTTATATACAGATAATCAGATAAGTTATACTATTATTATACATCTAAAATGACATAAGAATAACAAATATTTATCATTTTTTGCAAACACTAAACAAATATAAAACGGACTTAAATGAAAATATGGAAACATAAAAGAACGCTCAAAACGAAAAAAGAAAAAAATGAAAATGTGTTTGTTGTTGGTGTTCATCTAATTAGATAATGGTTCGTGTTACATTAAAACATAGTACTTATTGTCGAAAAGAAACTTATGAAAAGTTGTTTTATTATTTCAATTTCATCCATTGTCGAGGCCATAAATGAATGAAAACTTGCATGATATTAATTAGTCTCCTGCCGTTCGTCCGTCACCCAGACTTACCTGGGAAATCTAGATCCTGCTGTATCGAAACGCTTGGTTAATTATACTTGTTTTCTTAGTAGAAATCCATATAGAGATCATGTCTGTTTAAAATGTTATTCTCCACGCACTCGGGTAATATAATGGGATGAATGTCCATGTTGATTCTGTACATCCTATTCTTTCAGAAAAAGGGGTAAAATGCGTTATCTTTTATTTCATCATTTTAACCTTTATCTGTCTGTAATCCATTTAGTCCAAAGAATTCTGGACCATGCATATACTTAGATAATACCAAGGATGATGATTTAGAACGATATGTAGAGTATGTTTACCATTTTCTCCATCCTCCTTTCTCTTTTAATTTCCCATCTTCAAAAAAAAAACAAGATACTGCAATAACTCAAAAAGTACAAGAGAAAGGTATACGTTCCTTTGTAAGCAGAAACCATATGGAAATTGCGCGCATAATTTTTACTTTTAACCGAACAAATTTTGTGGATGCTACGGTTATATGGGAAATAAAATTGGATACATAAGTGAGATCCTTTCAAAATGTTAGTTAAGTAAAACTTTTGCTATTTTCCATAGCATTGCAAAGTTATATGTCAACTCTATAAATATTTTAAACATATGTCAATATTTTCATGGACTGAGGTAAGAATCAAATATCATTACACCATGGGAACTGCTGCATTGTTTTGTAAGCTCTTGTTACACATGCTTTCCAAATCTGAAAAATATCTGTTAAAATTAACTAGTAAATTTTCTTTTTTATCGTCAGTATATAACGAAGAAGCCAAAGAAAACCTGCCAGAAGAGCTCAGCTGTGGTCTTGTACTGACCATTTATGAATCAAAAGGACTCGAGTTTGACGACGTGTTACTTTTCAACTTCTTCAAGTACTCCCAGGTACGAATTCACGTTTTCTTTGACAGTTGTAGTTTTTGCTATGTGTTTAGATAATTGATTTTAATCCTAGGGCAAATGGGTTTATGAAAAGATAACTGGAGGTCAGCATTTGTTAGCAATTCATCATTCAGTCATCATTTTTGAGTTTCGTTTCATAGACACTAAAAAGATTGTGCGTGATTCTTTCAGGCTTCTAAAGAGTGGCGGGTGGTTACAAAACATCTAAATGAGCTTGCAGAAACAGTCTATTCTAGAACCTCTCGGACAGAACAGTGTGTACGGATTGACAATGGTAATAGTGGTAACAGAAACTAAATGTAAAACTCAACTAAAGCAATAGATGTAAAATGTATCATTACATATTTAAGCTTTTATGACCTTGAAAATATTGATATCCGTTCCTGTTAAACCGGCAAGTTTATGTCTATCTGAAGATCAACTAATAATACTAATAGCTTCATGATTTACATACTTACAACTTCAAAATTTATGATCTTGGGTAATTGCATAACTGTTGTTTACTTTGTCCCAAGTAATTTTTCTTTTCAAAACTTTGAAAACACGTACTGGTAAACTATTCTGGCAAGTAAGAAACACCCTAAGTTATCTTAACAAGTGGATTGATACTGCAAAAACTTCTCAATAAAAAACAGGATGTTGGCAAATAACGAAACTGTGGCATCATTTTACCTAACTATTATCACATTAAAATAAAACAATGTATGGTTAACAATGTATGGTTAACCTATCAGGCAAGTTTGATATTTGTTATATTTCCTCTTGGGAATTATTCATTGACAGATATTTTCTTTATTTGTAAGTTGATGCCTAGGACATCCTATATCTTTAGATGGAGTTCAGGGCCTACGCAAGTGTCACTGGTGTTAAAAATATATGTTTACACTTATACATCTTTTATTCATTGACATTTATAAGGTATCTACCAGAGGTTGTCTTTGCACAATTTGGGGAGTTTAGGGAGACATGGTCAATAGAGCTGATGATACAAGTAGATTTTACACTTTTGCTACATTTTTTGATTATTTACCAATGTATTTCCTGAAACTTCAGGTAGAGTTGTAAGTCAATGGGTTCAAGTAAAAGGTCTTGTGTAAATGTATATATGATAAATCGTATATTATAAAAGCCAAGGACTTCCAAACAAAAAAGTTACATGAAAATTGCAGACTCGGTTTGTTTTAGTCTACATGAGGGATGATGAATATGTGCAACATCCCTCACGCCCCTAAGCACCGGCTTCAGCGGAACTCAATTCCCAACCGCATTAATGATCCCGAAAGACCAGAATAATATAACAACAATGAAGTGAAGTATGGGGCAACTTTTTACAGCTGCCACACAGCACTTGACACCTGCTGTTATGAAGTATAAAAATCTGGAGACAAAGTTATCCCTCGGAAGCATTAATCACAACAAAATTACATGAAAAATGCAGACTCAGTTTGAGACTGTACATGAGGGATAATGAATATGTGCAACATCCTTCTAACCCCCTAGCACTGGCTAGTAAAACTCACTTGGGAGAGCAAAGTACTTTTAATCAATTGATTACTGATTTGATTTTATGGCCAAGCGAAAGGTCTTCATGACAATTAATGTAGGACATAAAGTGTTATGGTCCTTTGCATCTCACTTTTGATTTAGAATCTTTTGCGAGTTATAATAACAACTTGTGCATATGGGGGCTTCCATGACCGAGTATTTAAGGTCATTTACTTCATCCTACTTACCCTTTACCGCTGTAGCTTCAAATCCGACCGCCAAAAAAAGCTTAAAACTATTGAAAACATTAACTATTACAATAAAAACAAAATGTCCTTTGGGCGTTTATAACTATTGGTAATTATGACTTATCAATTTCAGACTTGTTGATGTCAAGTGGCCGACCACGGCCTTTAGACTTTGATCCAAATCAACACAAGATATTGTGTTCTGAACTAAAACAGTTGTATACGGCATTGACTAGGGCTAGAGTTAATGTTTGGATATATGACGAAGACCCTGAAAAAAGAGCTCCAATGTTTGAATATTTCAAAGCTCTTAACCTTGTCAAGCCAGTCGATATAACAGAGCTTAATGAAGAAAGTAAGATGTGATTAAATTTCAAGTGTGCATTTATATGTCATATCTTTCTTCATTTTTTTTAAATACGAGTTTAAAAATAATCATAAACAAAGCCATAGTAAAAGCAAATAAGTAGCAATAATTTACTTATAAACATTTTTGTGTCTTAAAACTAGTAACGATATGGTTGTCAAATTCATATAGTTTCTTTTAACCTCGCTCTGCTTACTTTGTCTAATAACAAAATAACATTACTTTAATTCAGATTGTCTTTGCACTAATAATTTCTAGTCTTCTTATTGAAAAACAATTAAGATCATTTCTATAAATTCTAAAAAAGCATATTATAGTATAACACATTTTTTTCAGTCATAACATATTATAGTATAACACATTTTTTCAGTCATTTCTATGAATGGAATATAACACAGAATAATACAAATTCTCAATATTCTTTATACTTAACGTTTACTTAATCTTTTATCAGGTCAATGTGTTTTATTTGTATAATAAGTTGGTTTGAATTTATCATCAAATAGTCATGTTTTGTCCTTCTGTGAAGCAAATCTTCATCTCTATACCAATACTTTTTCTATATCTTCTATTTTTTAGAGTTAAATTAATCCATACTTTTAATTGCATGGGGGGATTATTATGCCCCGTAACACAATGCAATTCACTTTTTACGTACATGTATAATAACAATCTTATTAGAATTAATTTTTACATACTTCGCTTTTGCACGGGGATTATTATGCCCCTTACGATTCTTAATTTAATGCAACTTCTAATGTTTCGTCTGCAGCTTCTATTAAACACAAACGCGTAATTGGTCTTCTATAGATGTTTTTTCCTATTCGGACATCTACTACTCGTACATGTTTATCAGTACCTGGATGTAAAGCAACAATTCTTCCAAGTGACTATTCTCCACGGGATTTATCAGCATCAACATCCAGAACTACTTCATTGACTTTCAAGTCACGTGTTTCCTGGTGCCATTTTTTCTTCTTCTAAGGCTTGGAATGAATTCTCTCAGCCATCTGTGCCAAAAATGTTTAACTGTCTCTTGCACATGTCGCCAACGGTTTTTTACATTGAAAACTGTGCTATCAACTGCTTCGGTGCGAACTGTCCTCCTATTTGTCCGTGAATGAAATGGTAAGGCGTCAAAACGGTGTCATCATTTGGATGTGACGTTTGAAATATGATATGGACAACTGTTTATTAGTCCTTCAGATCCAGTAAATTTGCTGTAAGAAGTTCTTCAATCAGTGATATCAGCACTGTTTAGGCACTGCATAGATAGGCTCTTTTTGGCACTTTTAACCATACTTTCATGAACTCCACCAAGTGTGGCGCTAAAAGGCGGATTGAAGTGCCACTTAATTCTGTGATTATTTGCTTTTTCGGTAATTTTTTGTTTGTTCATCTACTCGTATAACACTAACAACTCAATATAAGCACCTACAAAGTTCGTTCCATTATCCGAATACATTTCTTCTGGAAAGCCTCGTCTACTGGACATTCTATAGAAAGCATTTAATAATGAGCCTGTATCTAATCCAAAAGCTATCTCCAAATGCACTGCCCTCGAAGACAGACATGTGAATAAACAGAAGTATCGCTTTTGTCTTACTTTCCCACGTCCTTGTTTGGTTAAAAATGGTCCGGCAAAATCTACAGAACTAAAAGCGAAAGCTCTCATTGATTTCTTCAATCTAATCGATGGCAATGGACCTGTTTTAATGCTTGTGCTTTAAGTTTCTTGCATTTGCTACATTTTTTCTCCCAATCTCTTATTTCTTCACGACCACCTATTAACCAGTATCTTGAAGACATTGCCGCTAGTGTTTGATTTGTACCGTAATGGTTCCTGCTTCATGAAAGCTCTTTACTAAAATTCTGGTTACTGGACTTTTACGAAGTAATATGATTGGATACCTTACATTATATGGTAAAAATCTTGCATGTGTATCACATCTCATAAGATCTTGCTCATCAAGTTTCACATTCAATGGAATTAGTTTACTGCTTCTCGGCATTGGTTGTCCTTTCACTATACACGAGTATTCTTCTGGATAGTGTTTAACCTATGTTTTATGTATAAACATGTTTTCTACTTCTTGTAATTCTTTCAATGTCAATACTCTCTCTGCTTTTGTTTCTATCATTTGTTTTCCTACAGTTATCTGTAAACCATTTGACACATGCTGTATCTCTAAGAAGACATAATCAATCAGAGAATCCTTCTGGATCCAAACGATCTTCTGTTGTAACATTACTAATAAAGGATGTTTCTGAGCTTTCATTCAGTTGACTCTTTTTGCTGAACTCATTTTCTGTTACGTCACTTTTGTCAATAGTACTGACAGGCCAATGTGTTTCATCTTCATGTAAAAACTGTGGGCCATTCCACCACAACGTATTTTGTATTAGATCTTTCGCAGCTGTTCCTTGATGCTACATCTGCTGGGTTATTGGTACTTGAAATATGCCGCCACTGATTAGGCACACTATGTGTATGTATTTCTCCAATTCTATGTGCCACGAAAGGCTTGAATCTTCTGCTTTCATTGCTGATCCAATGAATAACATTCGCACTATCTGTCCAGAATGTAACTTTTTTCATACTCATAACAATTGCTTTTGTAACATTCAATACTAAACTAAGTCCCAAAACCGCCGCCATAAGTTCAAGGCGAGGAATACTGACAGCAGTTAGGGATGACACTTTGGTTTTGCTGCACACAAACTTGACACGTCTTCATTTTTACATCTCATATAAACAACTGTTCCAAATGCTAATTCTGAGGCATCTACAAAGACGTGCGATGATTGATTTTTTGCCTCATCAAACGATAAACTTCGTGGTATAATAGCCTTATTTAACTCAAGTAGACCATCCGGCCATTCCATGGTTTCGTCAGTCAAGTTGCTGTTCACTTTATCGTCCCAATCATATCTTTTTAACCAGAACTGCTGTAGAAGAATTTTTCCTTTAATGATGTAAGGGGAGTGAAACCCGAAAGGATCGAATAAGCTTGCGACACTTTTCAGTAAGTTTCTTTTTGTAACGGTTTGCACTGAACAGATATTTTTATTCAGTTTAAATGTAAAAACATCTGCTTCAGCTTGCCATGTTACTCCCAGTGCTTTTGTGATTTGTAAGTAACTTGTGTCCAAATTTACCTCCTTGGCCCTTTCTTTCTGTGGAATCTTTTCTAATACAGTACGCGAATTTGAAAGCCTGTTTCTGGCATACATTCCAGCTTTCAGCCACAGTTCAGATATTCATACAGTTCTAACGCTGATTTTTCTGTCGGCATAGAATCCATAGAATCGTCCATATAGGTCAACTTGAGAACTGTTTCAGATGCTAATGGAAATTCTTCTTTATTTAGTTTTGCGTTTGTCTGTGCAACTAATTGTGCTAGGAAAGGCGATGCGTTTACGCCAAATACTAGTGTTCTAAACTCCTATTCACTGGAGTCCCATAAAATCTATGAAACCTTCTATCTGTCTCGTTAATCCCGATTCGTAAGTACATTTCACTAATGTCACAAACCAGAGCAACGTCATATTTTCGAAATCTAATTAACACATCCAAAAGTTCATTTTGTAGTTTAGGACCTGTTTCAATAAAATCATTCTGACATACTCCTTTGAATTTTGCCGCAGCATCAAAGACTATTCGTACTTTCGTGGTCTCCTTTTTTAAGCCGTACTACTGGAAAGTGAGGTAAGTACCACTTGTTCATGTGATCTTCTTCATCTTTGGGAACTTTACGTATGTATTCTTTATTCTCATAGTTTTCTATTGTTTCTTTGTATGCCATCTCAATCTCTTGTTCTTTGCGCAATCTTTTCTCTGTATTATTCAAACGTTGCACAACCATCTGATAGTCATTTGGAATATCTTTTGGATCCATTTTCCATGGAATTTTCACTTCATATTGACCGTTTTCATATTTCATCTTTTTTTCACTGCCTTTCAAAATATTTTGTTCCTTTTGCGTCAATGGCTCTTTCATTGTTACACCTGAATTGTCAAAGTCCCAGAAACCTTTCAACATTTGATCTAGATCATCTGGTTCATTTACAAAATATGTTGATAGTAGACTTGTATTTGATCCCTTATCGAGCTGTCCCACACATGTCCACCCTAAATGCATCAAACGTGCTATTGGTTCTCCAGTCTTTCCATGAATCTCATGCAGAGAAGAATGTACGACAGCATAATCCAGACCTATCAACATGTCAATTTCTTTATTCTTGTCTATGTATGGAAAATTGATCCTTTTAAGTGCTCCCATTTATCTATATGTTTATTCTAGTTTCACTGTTTGTAACGAACCTGTTACATTATCTAACACGTATGCTACTATGTTCGTGAAATTGACTGACCATTTCAGACTTTCAACACTTAAATTCACTGACATTGTTTCGAAACTTTTTGTACTGTATCGTTCAATGTGTTTACTTGTACTGTTTCTATTTTTTTCCTTGAAGTCCGAGTTTCTCCAGCAAGACTTTGATTAATGTATGTTTTTGTGCTTCCATCATCCAGTAATATGCAAATTTATCAAGATTTTTCTAGAATTTTCTGTATACACTACCACAGGGACTGTACGTAAAGCTATTTGATTTTGTCTGGAGAAAATCCTTGTTGTTGTTGCTGCTTTGGTTCACCAAATGTTTTTCTTTTTGGAACAAATTCTTGTGCATCACTGTCTAATGATTGCTGGTGATGTAAGAGTTTATGATGATTTCTAGTACATCCATTAATACCACAAACACGAACATTTTTACATTCATTTCCTCGGTGGTTATCTCGTAAACACCTGAAACACACAACCCTATATCTCTTTCTTTCTGCCATCTATTCACAGTATCCATATATTTGAATATTTAACATTCCCAGACATTATGTAAATCTGTTCTACAAATTTTACAACCCTTCTTAAACTTTGGCTTGTTGTCATTAAACTTTGGCTTGTTGTCAGCAAGAAAAGATCTGTTACTGTTTCTTGGTCTCTCATTACTAGCTAGTCCGTAGCTATTGCCAAGTACTTTGATTCTTGATTGATCCAATTTCTTAAAGTTTCAACAGATTCTTCTTCTTTTGTTTCATAAAGCCAGCGATCAAACCTACACAACATTTCTTCTGGCAATTTTCTTTGTAATGACAAATACAATGTACCATCACCCAGATCCTCTTCACGGTTAGCTTCTTTCATATTAATTACCGCTGTGTCAAGCAAGTCAGCAAACTTTTCTATTGTCTTTGGATCTTCATTTCTAATTGACTGGATTTTTTCAATATCATCCATAAAACGCATTAATTTTCGACGTTCACCACCAAACTTTCTTTCTAACCGATCTTTTGCAGCAATAAATGCTTCAGCCGAATGTCCTAAATCATCTATAGCTTGTAATGCCTCTCCTTTCAAATACTGACGTAATTGTAACAATTTATATTCTGGTGTTGCTGGTGCTTCATCGATGCATGCCATAAATGCAGCCTTCCAAGTTTCATATTTACGTTTATCACCATAAAAAACTGGAATACCGACACGTTTCATTTGTCGCCATAGATCTTTTTCTAAATTTTTTGTTGGTTCATCATTTATTGAACTTGTGCTCTGTAGTAACAATAATCTTTCATACACTGTCTGTATAGTTTCACTATATATCATATTCAACAGATCAATTTCTTCAGTTACCTTATTTGCACTGTCATAGTCCTTATTATATTTATACATTCGTCAAAGTTCCTCCAAAATAACCATGGCATCATCCAACACAGCATCGAATTGATCATTAAGATCCTTGACATACTGTTTATCAACAAGTTCTACCTCTATAGCATGTAACAGTTTTTTATACGTCCGTTTGAAAAACGGGACGTATTATGGGAACGCCCCTGGTGGGCGGGCGGGCGGCGTCCAATTTTGTCCGGAGCATATCTCCTACATGTATGGAGGGATTTTAATGAAACTTCATAGAAATGTTCACCACTATGAGGAGCAGTGTATCGCACATGAACCAGGTCTCTAGGTCAAAGGTCACACTTAGAGCTCATTGAAAAATGCTTGTCCGGAGCAAAACTTCCACATGTATAGAGGGATTTCAATATTACTTGGCACAAATGTTCACCATTGTGAGGCGGAGTGTCGCGCACAAGATTCAGGTCCTTGCGGCCAAGGTCAAGGTTACACATAGAGGTCAAAGTTCAGATAAAAATATGAAGATGTGTATATGGACCATTTAGTCATCATTTATTGAGGGATTGTAACACAAATGGTCATTATCAAGACTATGGCTGTGATACATATAATTTAGGTCAATATATACAAGGTCAAGGTCACTAAAGATGATGAAATATCCAGATTTTGTCCGGAGCATATCTCCTACACGCATGGAGGGATTTTAATGAAATTTCATAGAAATGTTCACCATTATGAGAAACCATGTCACGCACATGAACTAGGTCTCTAGGACAAAGGTCAAGGTCACACTTAGAGCTCATTGAAAAACGCTTGTCCGGAGCAAAACTTCCACATGCATAGAGGGATTTCAATATAACTTGGCACAAATGTTCACCATTGTGAGGCGGAGTGTCGCGCACAAAATTCAGGTCCCTGCAGCCAAGGTCAAGGTCACGCATAGAGGTCAAAGTTTAGATAAAAAAAATGAAGATGTGTATAGGGACGATTTAATCATCATTTATTGAGGGATTGTAACACAAATGGTCATTATCATGACTACGGCTGTGACACATGTACTTTAGGTCAATATATGCAAGGTCAAGGTCACTAAAGATGGTGAAATATCCAGATTTTGTCTGGAGCATATCTCCTACATGTATGGAAGAATTTTTATAATACTTTATGGAAATGTTCACCTTCATGATATGTATTGCTCCATGCATGATCCAGGTCTCCAGGTCAAAGGTCAAGGTCACACTTAGAGCTCATTGAAAAACGCTTGTCCGGAGCAAAACTTCTACATTCATAGGAGGATTTCAATATAACTTGGCACAAATGTTCACCATTGTGAGGCTGAGTGTCGCACGCAAAATTCAGATCCCTGCGACCAAAGTCAAGGTTACACATAGAGGTCAAAGTTCAGATAAAAATTTGAAGATTTGTATAGGGACCATTTAGTCATCATTTATTGATGGATTGTAGCACAAATGGTAACTATCATGACTACAGGTGTGACACATTTAATTTAGGTTAATATTTGCAAGGTCAAGGTCACTGGAGATGATTAAATATCCAGATGTTGTCCGGAGCATATTTTCTACATGCATGGAGGAATTTTAATGTTACTTTATAGAATTGTTCACCACCATGAGACGTAGTGCCCTGCACATGAACCAAGTCTCTAGGTCAAAGGTGAAGGTCACAGTTCATAGAAAAACGCTTGTCTGGAGCAAAACTTCTACATGCATAGAGGGATTTCAATATAATTTGGCACACATGTTCATCATTGTGAGGCTGAGTGCCGTGCATAAAATTCAGGTCCCTGCGACCAAGGTCAAGGTCACACATCCTGTGCATATCTTCCCTACTGATTTGTTTTAAGGTTCATTTAACAACACAGTGCCAAGAATAAAAACTTGCTTGCTAGATAACACTTATCCATAATGCCCCCATCTCCATCTAAAGCTTTTGTAAACGGGCGTATTTTGTGACTATGGCACCCTTGTTAGTCTTTGTAAATGCTGTCTTCACTTTTGACTTCCGCAATTTCAAGTCTAAAATATCTTCCATGGTTTTTATACTCAGTATCCGAAATAAGTATCCGAAATTGCACATCTATCTATACACTTGCAGTTCAAACTCCTTTATGCAAGGTAATTTACCAATAACTTGTAGATTAAACCTCGCTCTGCTATCATAATGTTCTATATGAGCCCTCTATTAGGAAGTATAACGAAGTATTATATTCTTTTTCTATGTTTATTTGTTTATTTTCGAAGAAAAGCACGCTTTCAAATATCAATTAAAAACCTACATACTTTCCTTTTTCTTAATCGAACATGTTCTTCAATTTTGACATTTGAATAATTCCAAAAACTAATAGAATAACTTTTGAACAGTAGTTTTATCTATCCGTTTTCTATTTTGCACCAAACGGTGTACACGTCCAAACATTTTTTCTTTAAGGTTTGTCAAAAGTAATTTTTGCGGAAAATTCAAGCAAACAAGATTGGATAAAACAAGGAGACTCGTTTATGAAAAATCACCTCTACAATGTGGCAGCGCAATGTTTTGGTAAAGGTGGAGACCGAAGAAAGCAAATGTTAGCACAAGCACATGACAGAGCATTGCTGGTATGATAACTTGTATTGTATTTGGTTGTTAGGTGTCAGCTTATTCTAATTTCGCCCTGTATATATATTCTAAAATAAATCAGTCACTTAAAATATTTTTGCAATGTCTACTTTGAACAGATACCAACCTATAATATCTTTACGTTAAATGGCACATTGTGCCCAGAATTGTTTTTTAATTCCTCGAAAACCTTTTATTTTTGATGCCCTGTTATATTTTACCAATGTTTATTCATTGATCACTCATCTGATGCATCTTAATGCTTCTGTTGTCTGTTGGCAATAAGTATAGTAATAGTGATTTAGTTGTTTTTATGTTGTTTTTCCTTTTAATTACAAGTAATATCACTTTCAGGACTACCTTGTTAAGGCGAAAAGCATCTCATATGCTCTTAAACTATTATTTAAATGTTGCAAAATATCTTGTGTGCCCTTTCTTATGATTAAAAATGTTGTATTTTTTGGTTTCTAAGGTATATGCCTTTATATGCCTTTAATAGTATGTTACCAAATTATGCACGGAAAACAAGTAAGAAAAATTTCAAATGATTTTTGTGGCTCTTAATTTATGTGGTTGAGTAACTATCGCCACGTCATTTGGTTTGTAGAACCTCTGGAAGCCTTTAGATCGGAAATGAGGTCCTGAAGAATACTCATAAAACAGCTGTTAAAATGTCATCTAAAATGTACCTCCATATACATGTACACAGTTTCCATATATGAGCCGCGTCATGACAAACCAACATAATGCGTTTGCGACCAGCATGGATCCAGACCAGCCTGCGCATCCGCGCAGTCTGATCAGGATCCATGCTGTTCGCTTACCAACTCTATTACAAGTAGAGAAACTGATAGCGAACAGTATGGATCCTGATCAGACTGCGCGGATGCGCAGGTTGGTCTGGATCCATGCTGGTCGCAAACCCACTATATTGGTTTTGTCGTGACGCGGCTCATATATATTACCAGTTAAACATTAGATAACTTCAAGACTTTTCAAGACCAAATTTGAGAATACAACGGAGCTTCTAATACTGTACAAGGAATTTAGTCAAGAATTTTTATGTACCCTATGCTAATCGTTTTGTTACATCAGGATTACAATGAAACATTTATTATGACCAGTTCAGAGAAGAGGGGGTATATTTTGCTTCGCATTTGACTGTCGGTCAGTCCGTCCGTAGACATAATGGTTTCACATCAATAACTAAAGAACGCTAAGGCCCTAATATGGGAATGGTTCATGACCAGAAGATGACACCCAATTGTTTTTGGGGTCTTAAGATCAAAGGTCAAGGTTAAATTGACCTTGAATGTCAATATAGTTAACAATTAATAACAGACTTTGACTTTCAAAGTTTACAGGTGCATTGGTTGACCCCTATTTATTTTGGGATCAAAGGTCAAGGTCATATTGAACTTGTAGGTTTAAACGGTTTCCGATTTATAACCTGACAACACATGGGCCCTTGGTTCTCAAACTGCATATTAGCATTTATCTTGGCCACTAGATGACCATTATTGATTTTGGGGTCAGGGATCGAAGCTCAAAATGTAACATTGAAGGTAAAAACGGGTTCGATCAATGACAACCCAGGGACCCTTGACCTTTATATTTACAAATGCATTGCTTTTGGCCAGAAGATCATCTCAATGGATTTGTTGGTGTCAATGGGTCAGAGGTCAAGATCACATTGACCTTATAGGTAAAAACTGTTTCTAATCAATATCTCAGCAACACATGGGCCCCTTACCTTCTAACTACACAGATGCATTGGTCTTGGCCAGTCCATAACCCTTATTGATTTAAGGGTCAAAGGTCACATTGACCTTGTACATTAAAACGGTTTTCGACCAATAACTCAACTGGTTGATATTTTTTGTGCCCCTACTTTAGTGGCGGGCATTTAGATATAACCTTGTCCGTCCGTCCATCCGTCCGTCCGTACATCCGTACAAACCAGAGCTACATTATGGGGTTTGGTCTATTGTTCAACAATAGATGTCTTTGATGTCATTCATTCCGTTTCTCTTGTTGGGTTATTTTCTGCATTGTGGGGTTAACAAGAACAAAAGAAATAACAAAAGAAGCTCTGGTAAGAACTTCCGTCCGTCCGTCCGTTCTCTTTTATGTCGCACGTAACTCAAAAAGTATTTGACCTAGAGTCATGAAACTTTACAGGAATGTTGATCAGCATGTGTAGTTGTGCACCTGGGTATTTTTGTCTGGATATTTTTAGTATTTTTTGAGTTATTGCCCTTGACTTAGTAAAATTTTGCAATTTTCAACTTGTGTCGCATATAACTCAAAAAGCATTTGACCTAGAGTCATGAAACTTTACAGGAATGTTGATCAGCATGTGTAGTTGTGCACCTGGGTATTTTTGTCTGGATATTTTTAGTATTTTTAGAGTAACTGCCCTTGACTTAGTAAAATTTTGCAATTTTCAACTTGTGTCGCATGTAACTCAAAAAGGATTTGACATAGAGTCATGAAACTTTACAGGAATATTGATCAGCATGTGTAGTTGTGCACCTGGGTATTTTCGTCTCGATTTATATAGTATTTTTAGAGTTATTTCCCTTGACTTTTTTCAACTTGTGTCGCATGTAACTCAAAAAGGATTTGACATTGAGTCATTAAACCTTACGGGAAGGTTGCTCAGCATATTTAGTTTTGCACCTGGGGTTTCGCTTGTGGATTTATCCAGTATTTGTAGAGTTATCTCCCTTGACTTAGTAAAAACCGTTTCATTATGTTGTTATTTGTTCCTTGAGTGCTTGAGTTAGAATCAACCAACTTTACAGGAATAATGATCAACATCACTAAATTACAGGAATAATGATTCACATCACTGTGAAGATATGAACGTGGGACTTTGCATGTGGGTTTTTTTAATTTTCTTAGAGTTATTGCCCTTAACTTACAGTAGTATAAATTTACAATTTTCAACTTGTTCATGCATAGCTCAAAAGGTATTTCACTTGTAGGCCTGAAAGTTTACAAGAATGTTCGTCTGCATGTGTACTTATGCACCTTGGGGTTTGCTTGTGGATTTATTCAGAATTTGTAAAGTTCTTGCCCTTTACTTAGTAAAAGATTTTTAGTTTTCAAAAAAATATTTGACCTAGAGACATAAGATTGACGGAACAGTCGCGCGGTGGGGGCACCGGTGTCCTATGGACGCATTTATAGTATTAAACTAAAATGCTTGTGGTGTACACATTTTAAGGTCTAATGTAATATAACAAAGTGGCTGTTATTAAGGAGGCCTACGTTATGCATATAATTTTTGGTAAGATTTATGATAACTGTGCCATAAAATTGCTGCTCACAACCTTTATAGTCAAAATGACCCCTTTTAAGTTTTTAGTCCCTAGGTCAAAAGTCAGAAACAATAACCTGCCCATGTGACTAATTTGCTGTCGATAGGGGATTTTTATGATTTACAAACATATCTTGTTATTTTAAAGATGCAAAAACAAATGTGTTTTCTGAATGTCCAGGGTCAAAAAATTGTAGCTACTTCTTACTTCATTATCACATCATTAATTCATGCTTAAACTTGGCTAATATTACGTTTATATTTATAACTATTATCACTATTGAAAAGATAGTCATATTTGTTTTTTTCTAACTAAGGCTTCAAGAAGAAAAGACAAGTTAAGAGAAAAGAATGAAATGAGGGACGAGTTCTTATTTGCAGCTGAGCTGTATCTTAACTGTGAAAGGTATCCCGAAGCTGCAAAATGTCTAAGCAACGCTAAAGAAGTGAAACCAGCTATTTCCCTCTATACTAAACTTAGACAGGTAAGATCATTATTGTTTTCATGTAAGTGCTTTCCAACATAATTTGAATATTTGGCATTCTTCTGTAAACGTATACACTTTTGGTTCTATGCTCCTGTTATTTTCGAGAACTAATGACTGTTTAAAATCATATTGTTCCAGAAAAAGCAACTCAAATATTTCTTTAAGTGGCGGCATGGCCGAGTGGTTAATACTTCGAACTAGTAATCTAATTTCCATAAGCAAGAAACTTTACGCTTATTGCTCAGTATACAGGTTGGTTTCAGGAACAGATTCGAAAGTGAGTTTATAAGCTTATAGCTTCCTGCACAATCGAACTAAAATAAATTCTTTATAAACAAATATTTCTTTCTTCTACAATTTATAGTTTGAAAAGGCTGCCGAACTTTGCAAGAAGAATGGTTTAATCGTTGAATGTAGCAGATTGTACGAAAGTGCCGATAAATTCAATAAAGCCGTTTCAATTTTGTATGAAAACGGTGTATACGACATTGCTCTTGATGTCCTGAAACGATACAAAATGCGAGAAACGGTAGGTACACATTTGAAGATATAGATTTTTGTGTAAGGTGATATAGGTATAAAAATATAATAAAGCTTAAAAAGAAATAGATAATTTAAACATAAATTAACACATTTTATACAGAATTAAAAAAAAACAATAAAGAAGTTACCTTCATTATAGGACTTGCATTATTTTGATACTACTTTACGTATTCTTATACATGCTGTTTTATCCAAATCACAAACTAATAATGTAACTACATTTGAGTGAGTTTATTCATGTACTTTATAATGATACACCATCAGGAAATGATGAGGAATGACTGCCAGTCACTGGAACGTCTGAGAACAAATAGACCTGATAAGATATATACAAAGGAAAAGATAAGTCTGAGGTAATATTGTAAACATTCCATTTTCATGGTTTCTTTACCATGTGATATTTAATGATCTGCATAGGGTAAAATGCAATTTTTTTATTTCCCCTCACAACTTGCAAAATATTTCAAATTTATTAATCAGATAAAGTGATGATCTCTCGTTCCAGTTAGGAACACATACAAAGAATAAAAATATCAGTAGTTTTATGGAAGGTGAAACCTCTGGTTTGAACAATCAGATCTTCACTCGTTTTCTTTAATTTTACGGACTTTTCCTATGAAGAAAAATAAGGGGCTCTTTACTTTATCTTTTACAAAATTATGAAGCATTTAAAAAGTTATGACAGAAAACACACCATGATCTGCTTTTGTATTTGTTTTCTGCCCAACGCAGTCACAAAATACCACGTGGTATAGGCAACGCGATTATAAAGGGTTCGCATTATTGTCGTTCAAGTATTTGTTTATTGATTTTCTGATTTAAAACATACCAAAGTACTGACATTTTCAAAAACTCAAAATAAATAAAATAAAGCGGATGTAAAGCCGTTGAATATTTTGTAAGAAAATGTCTTCAGATTTGGTGGAAAACTACAGTTTTGTATGTTTCTTATTAAAAGCCCATTATATTTTAGCGAATATTTATATGCACATGGTCGTCATTCCGTCTGTCTGTTAGCGATTTCAGGTCTTGTGTTATCTTTTGAAGCGGTTAAAGGAAATTGAAAGTATTTAAAATTAAACCATAATACCGCATTTTAGACCTTACCGCAAGGTCACACTTCAACAGACAATGTGCAGAACAGATATGTGCAGAACAGATATTTAGGCTTCTTTAGATTTCATTTAGCCCTGCCACTGAGGAATAATTTACTAACATATACTTATGTAGGTAAAGACATTAAAGTTAAAAGTGTCTTTCTGTGAAACAACAATGTCTAGCGCTCATTAAGCATTGCATCATTGACTTTTACCTATTCAGGCAAGCAATAAAAGTTCATCGCAGCACACTTGATTAAAGATAACTGATGCTAACCTTTTTCTTGTATAAATTACACAAAATTGATTAAATATTAAGTCAATAGTGCGTGTGTGATAAAAATGTTTAAATACTATTGATAAAGAATGAAGAATGTGTGTTAGGGTATCAATGTAACATGATAAGCATATTTTAAACCAGAGATGAAAGTTGTATTGCTTCCTTGATAATTTCATATGAATTGTTTTGTAAGCAAGTAATTAAACTTTGTTTTTTCCAACTTTTATGTCCTAGGGCATACAGTAATTCAATTGTTACTTGTAGCAAAATCTAACTATATCAACAATAGTTTTAAATCACAGGAACTGGTTGATATGCATATAACTTCAATATGAGTGTTTGATTTAATGTGGTTTTATTAATAATATATGTTGTAAAAATGGGGCGTCCGTGGCCGAGTGGTTAAGGTCGCTGACTTCAAACCACTTGCCCCTCAACGCTGTGGGTTCGAATCCCGACAGGGACTTTGGATTCTTTCATGTGAGGAAGCTATCCAGCTAGCTTACGGAACGTCGGTGGTTCTACTCAGGTGCCCGTTCGTGCCTGAAATAATGCACGGAAGGGCACCTGAGGTCTTCCTCCACCAGTAAAGCTGGAACGTCGCGATATGACCTATACTGCGTCGATGTGACGTAAAACCCAAAACAAACAAATGTTAACTTTGTTTACATTACAGAGCTGCTGAAAAATACCATGAACAGAATGATTTCAAGCGCATGCAAGAGGCTGTCAGCAGATTTCGTGATGAGGATGACAAGATTGAGTTTTACAAAAAGCATCAGTACATTAATGAAGCTGCAAATTTGATCGCCAGTTCTGGTAAATTTCTGCAATTAATATTTTGCACATTTATCATTAATGTCATTAATGTAACATTATATAAAAAAAGATAAATAAAGGAATAACATTAACATTTTAATAAAGTTTTCGAGTATTATTCTGTCAAGTTTTATTTTGTCGGACATCAACATTTTGTTCTCTTTTTTATTCTGATAGGTAAAGTTTCTGAGGCTGTAAATCTATATATGAAGCATGGGATGTTAGACAAGGCAAGATACATTGCTGAAAAGTCAAAAGATGACATCATTATAGCAAAGACTTTACATGACATCTCCAGAATTACGCTTGCAACTGAACATGATAACCAAGCTCTTGATACTGTTAAAGATGATCTAACCAAATCTTTGGAAATTTTCAAGAGATATGGAGAGAAAAATCTGGCCGGAAATGTGTTGCTCTTGCATGCCAAAGTATATGATGATATCAAATTCATTTTATCTGCTGGAGAGGCATTTTTGGACACACGCCCATGTAAAAATGAAGCAGGCTATTTAGAATGCTGCAATCTATTGGTGAAACTTACTGATCAAAAAGATCAAAATATTTTAGATTTTCTCTTGAAAGGAGTTAATTGTTTAATCAAAGTTTGTAATATCATCCTACTGAAGTTCAGTTCTATATGCAAAGGGGACTTGGCAGACGAAAAGAAGTTTGTGACATATTGCCATTTTTATGGCATGTTTCCCAAAGGGGATGTAAATTTCGAAGTTTTTCCTGCAACAAAACCACTGTGTGAAAACATTCTTTCAATAAAGCCTGCATCAAGCACACACAAGGTTGTAACCTTAGACACAGAACGGTGTTCTCATATGATTGTTTGCCATCTCCTGACATAAAGAAGGGCCCTGGGTTTAGGGCATAAAGAAAGCAATTTTAACCGCAGCGTTTTCCCCATTACCCAATTTTGCAAATCATTTTAAGTTTGGGGGAAGAGTGCACAGGGTTTAAAGGGAAAGTTTTAAAACCTTTTATTTAAAATTTCATAACCCCTTATACGAAAAGGAGGGTTTCCAAAGACCATTTTAAAACTGAAAGTTGGGAACTAGCCCGAAAAAAGGGGGTTTATTTGAACAAAACAAAAAGATATTTTTAAAAAAAATTTTTTTTGAGGTAAGCCAAAATAAAGCAATAAAAGATTGAACTTTTAAAAGTATTCTTTATACATTTATGATCAACGGAAATGACAAGCACGAGGCTTGCAAATATCTGTTGAACGACTGTCTTTTAGACAGTGGACATCCTGTCATTCTTGCAGAGGATAGTAGCTATATGTTAAGATCTGTTACTGCTAACAAAGTTGTGCTAGAACATATGAAGCAGCATTTGCTCCAACGCTGGAATGAGAGCATATCCGGCGACAAAAAGTTTAAAAGTAAAGCTTCCCACGAAACGGAAGTATTTCTGTTGTTGGAGTTTGCCTATCATCTGTTTCATTTTGATTCTGGTAGGGTCAAATTCAGTAAGAAGCCAAAAGAGCTAATGCTGAGCTTTGAACAAGCCCTTGATAAAGAATTAATGGCAGATGGTAATTTGAAAAAAATCAAACAAAGAGAAAGGTCGTCCACTCTTATGTTAAGTGAGAAAACTTCCCAAGGTAACTATATTGAACGACCGTATCTCACATGCGTTGCTCATAGATTTACCGATGCTTACGAATACTTAGCAAAGGAGAGGCCATTCGATGCAATATTGTCTTTCGCAAAATTTCAAACTCTGCTAAGTCAACGAAAGCCGAATGATAGGTCCATTGTCAGCTTCTATCCTGAAATTCATCATTATTTGTTTTGGCTTGAGTTTTACTCTACCTTGGCTTTCCTTGTTATTGCTTCACTGAAATCACAGATCAACCCAGAATATACAACAATTCTTCCATCCCAGTATATAGCAATGCTTTATTTTGTGGAATCAACATTTCCTAAAGGGGCATTGCCTCTTTTCCAATCCATAGAAAAATGGGCAACCAAAGCAACACAACGTTCGACTGAACTGATGCTAGATAGAATGAAAAGGTTTGCATTTGTTATTTCTGGGCATGCACAAAAAGTAAAGATACCACAATTGATTGAAAATGCATGTAGAGAAGACAAGTCAAATTTTATACTCCTTGAAAGGCTTCTGATACTGAACATGACAATGTTATGTAACATTGGACAGGGTGTACCAATACAATGTAAAAGTAGTCTAATGAATTCATTAAACAAAGCTTGTACATAGAAAATAGAACAGAGCGATTGAGAAAAATTCACGATCCAGCACAACAGCTCGAAAGTGTTACACATATCATTGACTGTTTGGAAAAGCTTCTTGAATGCCGTTATATGGACGAAAGGTTATTTGTAGTGAAATGGATACCCGAACATAAAGGTAAATTGAGAGTAAAAACATTAGATAGGAAAAATCTACCGCCGGCATTTTTAGACCAGGACTTAGATGAATTCGTTGTTGAAACCCAAAAGGCAGTTGACGATGTGTCCTATGATGTAGAGCAAACAGAGGACGAAATCCAGGCAGATTTACAAGAAAAGGAAGAATTCAATAAAGCATTAGACAAAGAGCAGGAAACGCCATCAACAAAATCTGTCAATTTTGATTTGTCAAACGACGAAACTAATCTTGACCAAGCTGTAATACATGAACACGGGTGTTTTTTGTGTGGAATTGTCTTTGAAGACTATCATATGAAGAGAAAGACAGAAAAAGAATTGGCAAAATTGGATGAAAACACAGATACCTTCTGGTCAAATGAATCTAGTAGTAAAGTTAAAAGTGTGTTTAGACAGGACAGTGCTATTGAAAATGCTACAGAAATACATGATTTGGTAAAGGAAGAACACATAAATACTTTGAAACATCGTCAAAACATTGAGCAACTTAAAGCATTTCAATTAAGGTATAAATCAAATATTATACCGCTAGTTACAGAAGCAGAAGATTTACTTAAAGAAGGTTCCTCTAGGGAGCAGGAACATCAGTCTGAAACCTACAAAAAGGAATTGAAGGGAATAGGAAGTAGCCACGAAAGAATAAAATGTGAACTTAATGATATAAAAACTTTTGCCCAGGGGTGGCAAGAAAAGCAAGAGCAGGTAATTCAGTTGGTTGATAAACTTCTGAGCGACATTGAATCGTTAAAGAGCTACAAAGAACAGCGGATAAAGGAAACGGAGGTAACTAATTTTACTAAGATTTCGTTAGATAATATCAAAATAATTTTCATGGAATTATTTTTTAGAATATTGTTATTATTTACTACATTTAATGATTATGGAAAAGCATATGAGAATATTTAGTAATTTAGTCTTTTTCACGTATATGTGGCGGGAAAAAGCATTGTATGCCCTTTCTTTCCGTTGTAAGAGCATTTTAAAACTGTCAAAAATATTCTGTGTTGAATGGTCTTTTTTAAAGTGTTCAGGATTGTAAGGTGAATATTTGTGTCTCTATTCAATTTCAAATATTTGACATCTCTATAGCATATTGCTTTAAAATAAATTGCCATGCCTTTTTCGGAAAAGTCAATTTATTTTAATTGGCCTTAAACAATGCAAAGGTTTTTCACATGTACATAATCAGAATGTTAAAGCCTGCTTTATTTCATAAACATTTTTCTAGCACCGAAACTAGACATATCTGAACAAATAGTGAATATATGTTTTTAAAAAAATTTTTATTTACAAAATTTAAAAAATTGGAAAAA